CCTGATGGAGCGCTTGGGCTACATCTCCGAGTTCACTACTGGTCTGCTCCACTGGCAGGCCGGAGGAGGAGACACCACCGCTCATATCCAGACACACTTAGAGCCGCGAACTGAGCCCCCCATCCAAAACGGTAAAGAATGGAGGGAGGAGAGGAAAGAGGAGGGCAGCGCAGGTGAAGGAGAGGAGCCACGCAAACATATTACAGCTACTATAGATGACGTACTGTGTGCCCGGGTGGATGCCCTTTCATCTGCCCACCCAGCACGCTTCCTGCCATCCTACCCCTTCAGAGTGCATTCAAATGGAGAGAAGGACCACATCACCCTCCTGGAGGATGAGCCCCGGTGCCTGGATGAAGCGCCTCTGTGCACCACACTGGCCTGGCAGGAGTCCCTATCCAAACGCTGTCTCTGTGTGTCAAATATTGTCCGCAGTTTGTCTTTCATACCAGGCAACGACTCCGAAATGTCCCGCCACCCTGCTCTGGTTCTCCTCCTGGGCAGGCTCCTGCTACTGCACCACCAGCACCCAGAGAGAAGCAGAGCGCCCCCAAGCTTTCAGAGGGATGAACAGCAGGAACAAGGCGTGTCCAGCAATAAAGATGAGTGGTGGTGGGAGTGTCTATGTGTGCTCAGGGAGGATGCCCTGGTGACACTAGCCAACATCTCCGGCCAGCTAGACCTCTCCAACTACACAGATACCATCTGCCTCCCCATCCTTGACGGGCTGCTGCACTGGATGGTGTGCCCCTCTGCGGAGTCCCAGGACCCCTTTCCCTCAGCGGGCTCACACTCAGCACTTACGCCTCAAAGGCTTGTGCTGGAGTGTCTGTGTAAACTAAGTATCCAGGACACTAATGTGGATCTGCTGTTAGCCACTCCTCCATTCAGCAGACAGGAGAAGCTCTTCAGTGTCCTGGTCAGGTACGTGGGGCAGAGGAGGACCCAGGTGTACAGAGAGATGGCCGTGGCCATCTTGTCACACCTGGCACAGGGGGAACCCACGGCGGCTCGTGCTATTGCCATGCAGAAGAGCTGTGTGGGGAATCTGGTGGGCTTTTTGGAGGATGGTGTTAGCATGGCACAGTACCAACAGAACCCTCACAGCCTGCTTCACATGGGACACCCTCCAATGGACCCACCCAGCAACAACATGTTGTGCAGAGCAGCTAAAGGCCTCCTGGCCATGGCCAAAGTGGAGGAGAACAAACCTGAGTTTGTACTGTATGAAAGCAGATTATTAGACCTCTCCATTTCATCGGTGCTCAACACGGCTGTGGTGGCCACGATCTGCCAAATCCTCTTTCACTTAGGGAAGTTATGACAGGAGGACAGGCAGGACTCGCACAGAGGACAGTAAAGTGGACAACATATCCCTGTGATTTTATATTTTTATTTATCAAAATGAAAGAAGAATTTGTTTTATATGAAATATCCAGCTTAACAGAATATGTCTATTCGTGTAAAGCTTCTTGGCCCTGTTAGTAAACAGGTTTTAACTTTGAAAGCTCATTTTAATACAAATATTTACCTGCTGGTGTTGGATTGCAGTGTTCAGCGTTTTGTTTGACTTTTCTGTTTATTGTTTACGTTTTCAGCCAAAGCTGCCACCAGATATTGGTGCTGAATGAGTTTTATTTGGAGACAATGATAATTTTTCAGTTTTATAAATGCCAATCTACTCATCGACCTTTTGTTATGAAGAGTATTTATTTAAAATGTGACACTGTACAGTAGTTTGATCTTATTGCCAACAGAAATGGTGAATCTGAAACACTGACTCTATGAAATGTATGTTTTCTTCATTGGAAGATCAATTGTGCAATAGGACGAGAGAAAGTCTAAAACAGACTCATGCAATGTGCGCTTTGGGCCATGGGGAGGCAGCATTGCACCAGCCAATTAACAGAGAAGAACCGTCTAATTTATCAACCATAGCCTTTCACCAGTTCAATTCACGGATGAGGGTTGTGTTTTTACACTTGTGTTATGTCTGTATTTTTTCATCACTGTGTATATAAACGGTTGTATATGGACACGTGTTTCAAGCATAGTGAGAGATGAGGCTTTCTGAATTATTAGAAAGAAATGCTTTTATTGTTGGTAAATTTGTTATTGTTATTATACATATTTTGTTAATGGGGTCAAATATTTGAAAAGATGTAACTGATGTTTAATGTACAAATCCTGTATGCATTGTATTATAGCTGAGAAAACAATCGCTTTGGTAATTCCACATGAAAGTGCCGGGGTGAGAGGAGAGCTATGAGGTCACACAGAGAAACTATCCATTCATATCTCCATTCATGTCAATGGAATCATTCTGAACTGGCTCCAAGACACCAGAGGAAAGCCCAGGAGCTCATTGTAAACTTTGCCTTTTTCATATGACTGTCTCTTTTATCAGTACACATTTATACTCTGTGTTGCACATGTCACAAATAAATGTACAATGAACATGCGGATACACACCTATGTCGCTTTATGTCCCGACAATCTTAGGCCAATAAAACAAACATCAGCTGCATGAGGGCTGCTGCTTTTGATTTGTCTCCTGATAATGGGATCACAACCACAACGGAATTGTTTTGGTCTGGAGAGGAATGACGTTCTGAAGTAAACAACTTGTTTTGTTTTTTCTTCATTTCTTTCTATTTACATGTTGCTGTTACACAAAATAAATCATCTTTCATACTGATTTAATTGAAACTAGATACTTTTACTCAACTATTATATTAACATACCAGAGTCTATTTTTAAAATCTTCAATAACAGCATTCCAGGTGTTGAAACCTGGCCAAGAAACAGTCTCATCAAAGGCATGGCTTCCACACAGTGGTCGTTAGGTCTGTTGCTCAGCTGCAGATCACTATAATCACTCATCTCCATCTTATTAAAGCTACACTGACACCTTTAAACCAATTACAACATTCCTGAGAGGTGCTCTGACAGTATTGATTGATCTTTGGCTAAAGTGTGTCTCTGTGGAGATGTGATTTGAGTACTTTTAGCTATGTCATGGTATCCCTGCACCTGCTTTTCTTCACTAGATTTGAATGGGAAGTGGGCTGCAGGCCTTATTGGTGCTGTGGGATGTGTTGGGTGTAGGCAGAGACACCCTCCCACATGCTCAGTGCTTCTGAAGCTGAGTCATACAGCTCTGACAGGATGTGGCTCCACTGGCTGTACTGTTGTTAGCTCTGCTACTTTACCCACACTGTCTCTCACTTTGGTCAAAGCCAATCTAAGCCCCAGGGATTCAACCAAAGTCAGTGATAAAAGCGGAACTTCCAAAAGGCCCACAGAATGATCCCATCTGAGTTAATCCGATTAAAGTTAAAGGTAGACTATGTAACTTTTCTGGTATAGGGTCCAACACCTGCTTGTTTTCAGATGTTGTTGCTTTACATGGAATGTTACTTTTTTATCTCCATTTTTACCTCCACGATGAAGGGACACCATCAGGCGTGGCTGCAGTGGGTCAGATCTATGGAGAGGCAACACATATGAGAAATGCTTTCTTACTGTAAGTTTTTCTAATTTATTTGTTACTTTTGCATACAAACACCTGAAATTGAATGAATTCAATATTGATAAGTTGTCATACTGTGCAATATTCCAGACAAAGCAATAACATGGAGGTGGCCAACCCCCCACCAGAAAACATAGTGTACCTTTTAACAGGGGTCAGTTGGATTCAGAGTGTAAATCCCATGATCATAGACAGGTCAAGTCTGAGTCCCATACCATGTCATATATCAAATCTTGAAATCTAGACCAGTCCTAGCACGAGGAGGCAGGAGATCTTAGCTCTCAGCTTTCCAACACATTTTGGCAAAAGGTTATTGTAGACATAACACCCTCAGCAGTAGATGCCAATCAACATGACTTCTCAATTATGCCACAAGATGTAAAATTATTCACTTCCCTGACATGACATTTTAAATATTATGCTGTCTATCACAACTTTGTTTGAAATGTGTGGGTTTTAGTGTAAGACAGAATACATTTTCCTTCACTTGAAAAATGTTGTCTCACAAAAAGGAATGCTTTCACCAAGTTTGGACAATTGAAACCTTTAGAGACTACATGAGTCAGGCGTGTGGTTTGAAAGAAAGTGTGCAATAGGGTGTTTGTGGTGGCGTGCATGTGTAGGACAGCAAAAGAACAAGCATATCTTGCAATGAACAGGAAAATTCAGCAAATTAAGCAAGCAGAACAGGAAATGACATTATGCTGCATTTTCATTTTATATGTGTGTTTTTAGAGGAAACAAAAGATGTACATGGACCGAATCAAGCATTGTTGATAATGTCAACAATCTTTCATCTCAGACAGTTTTCGGAAGGCACTTCCAGTTGAACTTCTTTTTTCTTATGGTTGACTTCCTATAAATAAAACCAAGTTCACACAAGACAGACCAAGTTTAGATGTTTTGGGCCTATATAGTGTATTCATTTCTGAATAACACTGTTGACATTGACTGAGTAACCACGAGCTATTAAACAATTATTTAAAGAGTGAAAAAAAAAAACACTTGATATACAAACAATTGTTCACATTATTGTCACAGAATTCTATGCTGTGAGATTTTTTGACACATGCCTTCTTTCACACCAATGCATCTATTTCCTTACCAAATAGAGGGCATGGCCTGGATTCATGATATAAAACCATCAGCCAGATTTTTTTCTGATTTGACTTGGATTTTAAAACACAAAAATAGGATAAGTTTGAACATTCCAATTGGCCAGTGTGTTTCAGTCTCAAAAAAGTGATATTATCTAAGATTGTCATAATTAAATAATGTGTAGAAAAAAATTCGGACACATTTTAGTGAGAGCCCTGTTTGGCCCTGCTCCTGCTTGGACAGCAGGAGTTGTCCCCCAGGAGACCCCCCCCCCCCCAGCGGTCTCCTGGTGGTCCCCAGCCCCCGGCTTGGGAAACGTCCTGCCTGGTCCGCCTCGGCAGCGGGAGGAGGAGCGCTCTCCCTCCGTGTGAGTGGGTGCTGTTTGTTTGTGAGGGTGGCAGCGCTGAGGAGGAGGACGGGGACACGGTGCGGAGGCTGTCGGCTGGCCTGCCTGCTGCTCTCACGCTTCTCCAGGAATGCTGCGAATATTTCCACATCGCGCGGCCATTAGTGAACATCTTACATGTTTGTCGTTGCTTGTTGCTGTGCAGTGCTTGCACATATGTCTGTAAAGGATTGCGTGCTTGTGCCGAAGAATCACTGTGTGTTTGGAGCGACAGGATGCTGCTGATTTTGAAGCTCGTTTGACTGAGAAATCATCGAGGGATTTCGTTGGATTTTCTTCTCGTTTTTTGAGTGAAGTTTACCTGGCAACAGGCTCTTGGGCACATTTAATACATGACATTTTGGAAAATGGTGTTGTTCGCTTTGTCTTCGGCTCGGAATAAACCTGGATAACGAGAAGGAGAAGCTACGTGACACCACCCCGCGACCAGAGCAGCGTTCCTTGGCTGTGGTAAGGCGCACGAGCGGCTCCTCAGGCTAAGACCCAGGAGATGTGCAGCTTTACCCACATGCTACGGGCTCCACATGCACCACAGGAGCACATGCAATTATACACGTTCACAAAACTGTGTCTTTAAACTAGATTGACAAAGTGAAACAATAATCTAAGATGATAGTCAATTGTAAAGTTGGTTAGCCTTAGCGGCACATTAGATGCTACATAGGGCTAGCCAAGTAGAAGCTAACAAAGAAGCTACGATATGGCTGAGGTGAAGTTATTTTGCAACATTGCTCCCAATGAATTTGCTTTATACCCTGCTTATCTCTTTTTGTCAGCTGTCTGTCTATTCATAGAATCGATCAGATTCAGAGTATTCATAGATTATTCCTCATAACACCCAGGATGTGTTTTTAAACTTTCACTGAAACTTTCCGCCTCCACTCGTGCCTCTGCAAACTTGTAAACTTTAGCCAGTCTCCTGGTCTGAACCGGTTTATTGTTCTTACAGAGACAGAGGATTTCTTCAGCTGTGGAGACAGTCATCGGCACTTGATGCATCTCGGGGTGTCTGAGTCCATGAGAGAGTGCGAGTACAGCCAGATCAGCACTCGCAGCTCGACCCCGATGGAGACCCCCTACAAGAAGAAGACCCCAAAGAGGAGGAAATGGGAGTCGTTTCCAGGACGGAACAAGTTCTACTGCGATGGAAGGATTATGATGGCCAAACAGACTGGGGTTTTCTACCTCACCCTTGTGCTTATTCTAGCCACATGTGGACTTTTCTTCACCTTTGAGTAAGTATAACACATAGAGGTTGTGTTAGGGTTGTCCTTATTTCACACCTGGGTGTTAGGAAATATCTGCTGTGGTAAAACTGGTATATGGGTCAGTTATTATGTCACAGATTGTTGATGGTCCAAGCAGTGCGGTAAATGTGTAACTTGAATTGCTGTTCTTTTTATTTTAAATTAGGTCTTTTTGCAGCATTTTAAAAATTATAAACCATATTCTCACTATTCAAATTTTGCATATCTGTCATGGTAACAACATTTATAACATAATGCATTTTTCAGTACTCTACCTATAAACTATCTATCTATTTATAATATAATCTGCAATTTAATGTCAGTACAAATTGGTCAGAATAAGAGATAGGGGTCCCTTTTAAAAGCATCAGATCTGGAATAACATTTTCCATCACAGAACACTTAGCATATGCGCATAATAGCATAAAATTTAAGATTGCAATCTGGAACCTGCTTTGTTTTGTTGTTGTGTGCCATAGTACAATCCGATATTATCTTGTACCTAAAGGGCTCATCTTCACACTATGTCAGCAAGTGTATTAACTGTGGTGTAGAACATCCCTGTAGCCTTTTCAGACTCGACACTGTATCTGTCCAACTCCTGTGTGGTAATGTAGCACATCGATCTCATATCAGTTTCCACTTTCTCTGCCCTTTGCTATTATGAAACACTACAGTATTTGTTTTCCTACTTGTCCCTGACTTTTCGCCCTGTCACAAGTCTCCAGTGGCTTGTGGTGTAGATTACTCTCCGTCTGTCTGCGTATGTCTGTGTTAATCACATCTTGTTATTCCCATTGGAGGCTCTCTCTTTAGTTCACTGTTGGAAAAAGAATATCTATTAAGAGCCTGAGTGTATTTCAGGGAGTTCCTGTCCAGCTCCACATGTGCTGGAGTGCAGCGTGCAGCAGCAGCAGCAGCAGCATGTAGACAGACATTGACCTGTTAACTTCCAGCACAGAAGTGTAACACAGGACACGCTCTATCTCCCCATTAGCCCTCAGTAATCACCCTGACATTCATGCTCTCTGAAGCACATCTTTGGAGATAAGAAACCTGCACCATCATGCTATTTGTGGCTCAATTAGACAGGTTTATCACAGTAACCTGCTAGCAAAACAAGCAAAATAACTGACGACCGCACATCACTGTCAAGAACTACCAGCAGGTCTGCAGATTACTTTCTTTATGGATTTGTGCAAGACTTATGTTTTGATGAATGCTTTTGTCTATAAATGTCAAAGTTACTTACTTTCTACAGTATAGCATTATAATTAGTTATCCATATTTTGCACACATCTGGGAAGACAGCTGTTAGTTTATATAAGTATCTGCTTGTGGTAAACATTTTTCTAAGATCTTATCAAGTTGTTTATGTTTGCTGTTAACACCTATTAATGGATTAGCGGGTGAAAAGTTTGGCAATAACAGCACATCACATCACATTGTTTACATATCTATTTTAACCACATTCTGATGAGGGAAATTAAATCATAATGAACCAGGCACTGAATGTCTTTTGTTGTTACTTTTAATGTTGTCACAATACCCGCATTTCAAACTCAGTGGCGGAATAGACTGAAGTCAATACGGATTCCAATACCACACTAATTTAACACTCTTTATTAAGACAATACGATATAATCTTCAACAAAAAATTGGGGATTTTCTTTTATATTACCACATGGCCTTATATCTTTATAATCCCTCAGTCATCCAGGTTGGTTCCATAGTGTTCCATGGGTGTTCAGTATCGTTCAGGAAAGGGCCATTTTTGTCCTGTGAATGTGACTTTTTTAGTATCGATACTCATATGAATATCTTTTTCCAATACAAGTTTTAGTACTGATTAGTGTTAGATTGTTTATACTATTGAAAACCCAAATTATTAGTTCATAGTTTCTCCTGCTGCCTTTTTTGGTAGTTCATTTGTCTTAGTAACATGGGTGTGTTTTAACCCTTTGTGCTGGAAGGATTTTGGCCACCTGAATGTGACAGACTGCCGTAACCTGGACCCCCTCAGAGCCCACATGGACGACACCAGATGCTTCCTGATGATACAGTTCCACTTCCTGTGCTCAGTGGACTGGTGTCTCCATTGGCCCTGCGCTCTGTCCTCTGTTTGTTGTGACTACAGTGGACAGAAGTGGGAACAGCACACACCCCTTTTCCACTTCTGTCCATGCCTTCGGGCTGGACCAGTCCTCCTGCCCCCCCCAACCCTCGTCCCTGGCTCTCCCACCCCGCCTGTCAGCTGAAAGGAGACATTTATCGGACAGGGCGATAGTCAGCAGACCTGCACACTGGCCTCCATTGCCATTAAGTGTAATGCATTTCGATTAGATGTGTTTTGCCTTAGCGCTCCCGCCGGTTGTCAGCAAAGTGGAAAAACAGCCTCTTCTTCCAGTTTGTAAATTGGCCATGTATCCTGACACTCCGCCTTAAATCACATGCTCTGTATCTGACTGTGTGCTGCTGATGTCACTCATTGACAGACTAAAAGGATTGTAAGAGTGTAGAAAAGACACAGAAAATCCTTTGTGCACTATATTTGTCTTTGCTTGCTGATCTTAGAGTAGCTTGTCCATGCACAATGAAGTCTCTTAGTTACCCGCAGACTCAAGGCTATTTATTATTCTACCTCCAGCAGCCCCCCAAGATCACCGTGTGCACTGTTGTTCCACATGTTGCTTACTCTCGCCTTCGCCCTGTTGAAGTTTACTCGGGCTAGTGTTGATTTTCATGCTTTTCTTTGACATTGATCTCAAAGGCCACAGGTTTTTCAGAGAAGCACTCAAGCGGCATTTGCCAAGCTGTGAAAAGGATGGGATACATTTTTACAATAAGCTGGAGAAAAATGTTGACGGTGTGCTCAGGTTATTAGTAAGGTAGTAACTCATAAATACACTTTTGGTTATTGCCAAAAAAAATCCTGCTTCAAACCACATGCTTTTGATTGGTGAGTGAACCTCTCAATTAAAATCTTCAATCTGATCATTGATTGTTAAAAATGGCTGAATCTCAATCTTGATTCAAATTTGAGTAATTGCTCAGCCCTAATAGTTATTATTATTGGCCTGCTCTCACATTGTCTCAAAATATCAGATCAGATATTTCTGTCTCATAGTTCAATAAATCAACACTCTCAAATGATTTATAACCTCCTCTTTTAGTGAAGGTAAACGGAGAGATTGAATGACACAATATTCAAAGGGTCAGACTAGAGCCCGACCGATATGGATTTTGTTGTGGCCGATATTAAACCGATATAATGAGAGTTGGCACTGCCGATAGCCGATATAATCGCCGATATATTTAGTGATGTAAAAATTCACTGTAAATCTTGAATTGATTAAAAAACTTAGGTTTGGCTCTAGTGGATTCTAAATTGGGTTTATTTAGGCAACATTTATTGTTATTTTGACTCTTTACATCATATTTACAGACAGTAGATTGGCCTAATGGCATTTTTGCATCACATTCTAGCTACTGTTACTGTCACTGCTAGTGATGGGTATTCCAGTTTTTTTTTTTGTTTTTTTTGGAGAACCGGCTCGGCTCACTAAAGCAGCTGGCTCTTTCGGCTCCCAAGCGACTCTTGAGATTGTTTTGTTGCAAGCAGGACTAAACCAGAACTGAACCAGGACTGAGTGTCGGGACTCGGTTTTCAATCTTTCTCCTGCACTCGAGCCCAAGATTAGTCCTGGTTTATTCATTTTATGCTGAACTGCACTTTTTTATCCTATGCACACGCAGATTTCTGAAAGTTTTGTTTTCAGCCGCTGCTGCTGTCAAACTACGGGTCTACATGCGGCATGAAGAGAAAAAGTGAGAAAAAGAGAAAACACGGCTCCCAATAAGAAACATGCTCCTGTTGTTCGCTTCAAAGAGCCGGATCTAAGAGCCGCTTCGATCGCGACCGACCCATAACTCCTAACTAGTAAACTATTGCTATTAGCCTTTAGCCGTAAAAACGTGCGCACCGCGGTAATTAATTATATGCATAAATGTGGATCATTCACACGTCTATTCACAGCTCATTTACATATCAATGCAGGTCCAGTAACAAATATACGACCAATATAGCCGATATGTCTCCAGGTGCCCATATTGGCCGATAATATTGGCCAGCCGATATATCGGCCGGGCTCTAGGTCAGACTAATCATTGTTTCTCAGTAGCTGTCGTTATCTATAATTTCCATATAATTTGTCTAACTGCGCTCTTTGTACTCTGAGCAACAGGCTGCATAGATGTCATCATTGCTCAAGATTGGGGGCTTTATCTTACAAGAACTATAGCTTAGTTTAGTTATTGTGTTTTTGTGTGAAGAATATAATTTGGAGCTATATTTTGACAAATTTTCTGATTACGGTTTTGGTATTATTTACTATTCAATTATTTTAAAAAGGTAAGGCAAGCCAGTGCAATCCAGCATTCATTTGTCTTAGCTTTAACCATTTTGGCACATGATTAGCAATGGTTCTGTTAGTTTATTCAAATATTTTAACAAGTAAGACTGGTTTCTGTTTGTCGGTTACCATTTATAAACACAAGCTTAAACTGAATTCATTCATCTCTTCTTCAGTGGTCAATATTCCATTTTTGAGCACAATTGCTATATTTTTCTAGCCTGATTCATCAGCTGGTTTCACTTTGTAGAAACCGTCTGACCTTGCAGTGTTACTTTTTTTCATTTAACCAATTGCTGCTATTTGGTCATGATGTATGTAATGCGCCACTAACAGGGCTAACTGGTATATTAAGCTTTTCACAAACCCTGTAGGAAGAAGGGCAATAACGTCTTTCCCCTTGATAAAATTCACCAAACATTCTCTTTGTTCCGGCTTTAAATCCTCGAACTCGGGAATTGTTCCCAACACAGAATGTATGGCTCTTCGCTGATTGGCTGGTGCCCGAACTCGCACTTTTTTGCAAACCATCTAGTGTATTCCGATTCCTGACCTAGTAGCTGGAGAGAAATGAAA